CCCCCCCCCCCCAGCTCTTCCCCTCCCGGGGCCGGGTGTTTCGGGAGATTCCAAGGCTGGAAACAACCTGGAGCTTCCTCACTCTTCAAAGGAGAAACTTTGTGATTGAAACACAACGGTCGACGAGAAAAATGAAATCCAAGGGACTCAATTTCTCTGTAAATAATGAACAGAACCCAGTGTTAATGTCTCGATGCCGAGCTTCGTTAGCGTCTAGAGCCGCCGCGCCTCTTCTGGGGGTTTGGGGCTTCCAGAATAGTGCTCCAAATAATTAACCTGTCATTACTTAACGAGCATAAACAGACTGTATTTAACTTTGTCACATAAGATATATATATAAATATATATATATGCTGTAAAATGAGAGGGGGGGGGGGAGAAACCTTTCTAATAAACCAATGATTTGTGGAAAAAAAAACCCAAAAAGCGCTAGAATTGTGATTGTGTGAGATGAGTCAGAGCCGCGCCACAGCCCAGGGCCCTCTTTTTCCTAAAATAAGAGTATTAGATCCTCAGTTCATGGAGTAAAACGGCTTCTGATTGGAGTTGTGGGGTGGGAAGATGCTGAGCTGGGTACGGAGAAAATTTAATTTTTTATTTATTTTTTTGTTGAAAGGATTGGTGTTTTGGGAGGAGGATGAAGTGGATCCTGCAAACTTCTCTCCGTCCACCACCTGCTCAAACTGTTAGAAAGGGTGAAATTGGGCAAGAAATGGTGGTTGGTGGTAGTTTGGTGGTGGGGTCGGCACCGTGTCCCGGTGCTGAGCGTCCCGGCCACCCCGTCCTCCCATTCGGGGCTGGCCCTCACCCCGCTCCTGCAGCCGTGGGGTGTGGGGGTGCTGCCTCCAGCCCCCCTGTCCTGGGAGTGGGGTTGGAAGGGACCTCTGGAGACCATCCAGTCCAACCCCCTGCCAGAGCAGGGCCACCCAGAGCGGGTCCCACAGGAACGTGTCCAGGTGGGGTTTGAATGTCTCCAGAGAAGGAGACTCCACCACCTCCCTGGGCAGCCTCTGCCAGGGCTCTGCCACCCTCACAGGAAAGAAGTTCCTCCTCATGTTGAGGTGAAACTTCTTATGTTCAAGTTTGTGCCCATTTCCTCTTGTCCTGTCCCTGGGCACCACTGAAAAAAGCCTGTCCCCATCCTCCTGACACCCACCCTTGAAGTATTTATAGGTGTTGATCAGATCCCCCCTCAGCCTTCTCTTCTCCAGACTGAAAAGCCCCAAGTCCCTCAGCCTCTCCTCGTAAGGGAGATGCTCCAGGCCCCTCATCATCTCTGTAGCCTCTGCTGTCCCCTCTCCAGCAGTTCCCTGTCCTTCTGGAACTGGGGAGCCCAGAACTGGTCCCAGTGCTCCAGATGGGGCCTCCCCAGGGCAGAGCAGAGGGGCAGGATGACCTC